AGTAAATACTGACCAGTGATTCAGTGAACACATAAGGTGACATGTAACTACATAAACATAACTAAGATTAAAGTAGATAAACTTATGTGTGCTATAAACTAAATCTTAACTATGATAGAATAATCATACGCAAACAAAGTAAACACACAGGTTGACTAATCAACAAGCATAATGTTAATCTAATTAAATTCTTAATTCATCAAATGTTAGAATCAACCTTAAAGTATGACTTTGTTAATAATTTTACCCAACAAGCTCAAATCTAACATGCTGCAGTACAGTGCCAGTATGTTTGCTCACATATTTGACTCATTTTTACAGTCAGCCTACAGAACACATTGTTCTGTAAACCTGTCTGTTTTTTCCATGGCGCACAGGAGGAGGAAGCGATAAACCAGGTGACATCAAAGATGTCCTTGATATTGAGAGCCTGCACTTGAACGATCACACCAGCAGAGCCAGTAAAACACAGGTATGTAACCAGTTTATACTTGAGAAGACAGTGGACACAGTGAGAGCAACAATGTGAATTTATCTTTTTCTCCTACATACCTAGACGCAGGCTAATTCACAGAGTATGTTTTTATACTGTCTGTGTGCAGTTTAATCGTATGCTGAAGCTTACCAGACCTCAGTGTCAGTGGGATTAAAAGTTCAAAAGCTGGGATACAGTGGTGTGAAAAAGTGTTTGCCCCCTTACTGATTTCTTATCTTTTTGCATGTTTGTCACACTTTAATGTTTCAGATCATCAAACAAATTTAAATATTAGTCAAAGATAACACAAGTAAACACATCATGCAGTTTTTAAATGAAGGTTTTTATTATTAAGGGAAAACAAAATCCAAAACTACAAAACCCTGTGTGAATAAGTGTTTGCCCCCTAAACCTAATAACTGGTTGGGCCACCCTTAGCAGCAACAACTGCAATCAAGCGTTTTCGATAACTTGCCATGAGTCTGCCACAGCGCTGTGGAGGAATTTTGGCCCACTCATCTTTGCAGAATTGTTGTAAGTCAGCCACATTGGAAGGTTTTCGGGCATGAACTGCCTTTTTAAGGTCATGCCACACCATCTCAATTGGATTCAGGTCAGGACTTTGACTAGGCCACTCCAAAGTCTTCATTTTGTTTTTCTTCAGCCATTCAGAAGTGGACTTGCTGGTGTGCTTTGGATCATTGTCCTGCTGCAGAACCCAAGTTCGCTTCAGCTTGAGGTCACAAACGGATGGCCGGACATTCTCCTCCAGGATATTTTGGTACACAGCAGAATTCATGGTTCCACTTATCACAGCATGTCTTCCAGGGCCGGAAGCAGCAAAACAGCCCCAGAAGGAGAGTGCCCGGCCATCTGTTTGTGACCTCAAGCTGAAGCGAACTTGGGTTCTGCAGCAGGACAATGATTCAAAGCACACCAGCAAGTCCACTTTGTCTTTGCTGTAAAAGACTCATGGCAAGTTATCACACACTTGATTGCAGTTGTTGCTGCTAAGGGTGGCCCAACCAGTTATTAGGTTTAGGGGGCGAACAGTTGTTCACACAGGGCTATGGTATATAGTTTTGGATTTAGTTTTCCCTTAATAATAAAAACCATTTAAAAACTGAATGATGTGTTTACTTGTGTTATCTTTGACTAATATTTAAATTTGTTTGATGATCTGAAACATTAAAGTGTGACAAACATGCAAAAAGATAAGAAATCAGTAAGGGGGCAAACAGTTTTTCACACCGCTGTATATGCCTATTTAAACACTGGATTGCTACATTCTGTTATGTACATTATACAGAAATTATGTTGATTTACTATTTAGTAAGTATTTCATCTTTTTTCTTAAATTTTAATTTTGTGGTAAATATTGTATCATGGACTTTTTATTGTGGCTATATTGTACTGAGTTTTTGTATCATTATATCCCTAAGCGATATACTATCTAAGTTATCCTTCTAAATCTGTGTCCAATTTGATTTTTTTCAGCAGACAGAGTGGGCATGTCCCTCATGCACTTTCATCAACAAGCCGTCTCGTCCAGGCTGCGAAATCTGTGCCACAGCCAGACCTGACACACACATCCAGCAGGTACTGCACAACAGCCCACAGCCTCCACTATCTTTGTACTACTCTTCTTAACATTTCCGCTCAGTGACAGTCCCTCCTTTTTCATCTCTCACAAAGGAGAAAGGCAGGAGAGAGGACAGAGGAGAGCCTGGTTTAAGCAGCAGCTGACTGCCCAGCACTGCGCTCTGGTTGACAATTCTCACTCAGACACCCATACACACACATGCACACAGAGTGAGGATGTTAAATCTGCCACTTACATGTTGACAAAATACTCAAAGACTGTCAAGTGCACTGAGAGTCCTCTGACAGCTGGCTGGCCTCTGGAGACTGGAGCGTTTGAAGCACTGTAGCATGACAGAGGCTCAGACGATGAACTTGCAGACAGAGCATGTTAGCTTTGACTGTTGATGTGGACATGACCATGACATCTTAATTTGGCCAGACCTCTTTCTTATTTATATTGTTGTCTGTGTGTGTGTGTGTGTGGCGCCAACACAGACAGTCTAATATTTATTTCAGGGGAGAGAGAGCTATGATGCAAGTTGTCTGTGTTTGATTGCAACTGAAGTGGGAGGAAAGGTGAAGCCCTGTGCAACACCGTTCTGTTTCAGTGTTGGTGCAAAAATATTTGGAAGTTTAACAAAAGAGCTCTGGCTGAAAAGAGAACGAATGTCGCATTTACAGAGATGTTAAGTGCTTTTATTTTTTTCATAACATATTTTGTTATTTTTAACAAGATTATTGAGTAATGTACATCTAACCAGTCAATCCTGAGCTGCGACAGCAGTGGATTGATTAGTTTTCAGTACATAATATTGTAAAAACTTGCATTAGCCAAATAAACATGAAACTAAACTGTCTATGGATCTAGGCTTCAAAGATGCACTGACTGATGGACAAGTTGTAGTTCAACATTAGGCTTTCACTACAGATCTTAATCTAAGTTAGCTCCATGTTAGCAGTGTTGTTTGGCCAGTTATTATCTAAACAATTACTGAATGGATTGCTTTGAAATTTAGTTCTGACATTTATGGTACCCTGAGAAATTTAACAGAATTGGCTTGTCCCTGATTTTTTTTTTTTTTTTCCTCTTGCATCCCCATCAGATTTAAGTTTTGGCATATATGGCGAAATGTCAACATCCAGGACTGACAATGTTTTTAGACATCTGTGGCTTTAGCTTAATTACTCTGGCGATCCTGAGTTTGCCTCTAGCGCCAACATGAGGTCATTTAGTAAAACTCCACTTTGCCGAAGTAGAGTCTCACAGCTGTAAACTGTCCTTAAAGCTACAGTATGTACATTTTTTTCAAATAGTTTTGTTGTAGAAGTGTGTAGGACTGTACCTGGCTAATGATTTTGTCAGTTCGACTATTCGTTCTTTTTCTCTCTCTTATAGCCTACCTAGACTATCAGAAAGTCAAATGGCATGAATTTTAATGTTTTCAATCACATTAACACTGGTATTCAAATGCAAACGAGTGACAGGAATATATTTCTAAGCATTTAAGTCAATAAAAGACAGCTGCAATATTTAAGTTGCAACCTATTTAAATCGGTGATGTACAATGTCGGGTTGCTATATGAATGTCGGATAACGAGACATGCAGCAAACCTGTATTTCTGTTGAAACGTTGCTCTTATAGGCTTTTTTTTTTCCTTCTGAAACATGGTCATAGCCTAGTTTACCAACAAGCTTAAGCTTCTCCCATCAGTTAACCACAGGTTCTGTTGCCTTCTCATTTCATAACGACATATCTGAAGAGCAGAACAGAACATAGAGCACAGTGGAGCAGAGAGAGAGGGTGCTGGGTGGAGCAGAGTACAGTAACTTGGAGTTTCTTGCTACGCTACCTCAAGTTGCATACTGTAGCTTTAAATTGTCAGTGACTAAACTTACCACCTTTATCTGTTTTTGCACACAGTGAATCCATTATGTAGCAGATGCAAGTCTTAAGTTGTGTAAATGCAGCTGGCTGCGTTGCTTATATTCCATATTTTGTCATTAATCAACCATGTTCTTGTAAGGGGGTCCCTGATGGACTAGTGGCTAGGATTCAGCGCGCTTGCAGCTGCGGCCTGGGTTCGATTCAGGGTTGCATCAGGAAGGGCATCCGGCATAAAACACATGCCAAATTTCAACATGCAAATGCTCAGTGTGATGATTCGCTGTGGTGACCCCTAACAGGAACAGCCGAAGGGGACAGACAGATCAACCATGTTCTGGTAATCACGCTTCAAACTAAATTGCAAACAATATAGGGGTAAATCCTTCGCACAATGCCTAACAACTTTTTGAACTGAGTAAATGTTAGGATGTAAGTAGCCCCTCATTTCAAGGTTGTTTAGTGATCGATGGGGAAATAGAGTATGTTGGAAACCTGGGAACTAAACATTTCCAGTCTTTATTTTGGCATTTATAAATATGAAATAAACATGTTTCAAAGAAGGTTATCAAAACAAGTATAAAAATATTAGATGTACTGGTGGCTTGTTCAACAGGTGCATGGACATCTTAAAAGAAACCATTAACAAACCAGATGGTTTTTTTTTCCTGTTTCACTACTGATTAATATAAGAACAAACCATGTTTGCACTGCCTAAACCTCCATCATTACAACCCAGCTTAAAAAGAAAACACACACAAAAAAACAAACTAAAAAGCAGTGCAGTATTTTTTCCATGTATACCATGAACAAACATCTTTAGGAAGTTCACAAATAATCATTCTCTTACAGAAAGAAACCCAACCATGACATTTACAGTTACTTGTGAAGTG